ATAATAAAAATAAAAAACAATAAACAAAAATAAAAACAAAAATAAATAAATAATAATAATAAAAAATAAAATAAAAAAAAACACAAAATGAGCAGGTCTTTCTACTGTTTACACTGTGTGACCCGCATTTGTAAAGCAGGTCTAAAAAAAAAAAAAAAAAAAAAAGCATGAGGATGTTTTTGCCTGTGAGCGTGTGATTCAGGGACCTGCCAGGACACGCATCTGCACCAACGCCTTTCTGAAAACGCCAGACTTATGCAACTGTGTACAAGTTTGTCACTGTTTAGTAGCACCAGCAGAGGAGTAGTAGGAAAAGTAGTAGTAGCAGTAGTAGTAGTAGTACCCAGATGGCTGAGGCAACATGTAGGAAAGAGTTGAAGAGATACTAACAGTGAAACTAGTGGTTGAATCAGCTCACCACCGTCTGACCTGCCTCGTTACATCACACCAGACCTTTCCAAAACCGCAGTCTTCACTTGACCTACATGACAGTGACAGATGCTTCCGCTACAGCCACTGCTACCTGCAAACAGTGTTGGGAAGGTGACTTTTAAAATGTAATCCCCTACAGATTACAGATTACAGATTACATACACCAAAATGTAGTTTGTAACGGAATCCATTAAATTACTTAAAGTGAGTAATGTAATCTGAATACTTTGGATTACTTGATTTGCTGTAGAGAAGCAAAGACGAGGACATCTTCACATGAGAAGTTTTATCTGATAAAAGAAAATAAGAAGCAGGAAAACACCGCCGTGTAATCCATTTATTTCAACAAAGTAACTGTAATCCAATAAGTGTTGGGGAGTAACAGATTACATGTACCAGAGTTACATAATCAGAGTACAAATTATGAGTAACTGTATTCAGTTACAGTTACTGTTTCAGTGAGTGGTAATTGGATTACAGTTACTTTGTTGAAATAAATGGATTACATGGTGGTATTTTCCTGTTTTCACGTTTTGGGCTAAACCAGGTCCAAAACCAGGACTAAACCAGGACTAAAACCAGGACTAAACCAGGTCTAAACCAGATCTAAACCAGGACTAAAACAGGATTTAACAGGACTAAACCATGTTGTGTGGACCGTGTCTCCTCGTCTTCTATCAATAATATTTTTAATTTGGTAAAGTCTGTTTAATTAAAAGTAAAGTCTGGGCTTTTTATTTTCTTTTAATAGATAAAACATCTTACTTTACGATTTCCTCGTCTTTGCTTCTCTACAGCAAATCAAGTAATCCAAAGTATTCAGATTACATTACTCACTTTAAATAATTTAATGGATTACATTACAAACTACATTTTGGTGTATGTAATCTGTAATCTGTAGGGGATTACATTTTAAAAGTCACCTTCTCAACACTGCCTGTGGGTGACGTCACACTCACTTAGTCCACTTCTTTGCACAGTCTGTGGTTTCAAAAGACATTTCATTGTTTAAGTTCAGTTATTATTGACCAAAATGTTCTACAATCACAACTGAGTCTGTGTCTCCAGAGCTTTAACCTGCAGACAGAGACACACACACGTTTTTCTCATTCTCAGTTTATGTTCAGGCGTCATGTGAAGCTCAGAACCTCCAGAACTCACTCACTGAGCTGCAGAGGCTGCACTAGCACTGACGAAGGATTGGCTGCAGGTGCTGGTTTCAGATCAGAGTCCTGTGTTTAAAACAAATGGATTTCAGCACTGAAGGCTCATTCTGCTTTCTGAGTGAATTCTCGAGAACCAAAACACCAAATCGTCTCTATTCACGCTTACGTCACAAACCAGGAAGACGTTTGGAAACATGTGATGAAAACTTCCAGTGTAGTTGCAGACACTGGGCTCACTGACCGACTGCGGTCAAACCTATTGTAGTAAATGTCATCAGTGGTAAAATGAAGACTACAGACGTCAAGATGATTCCTCATCTCTTCTAATCACATGAACTCAGTGCGCTCGGAGTTGTGTGTCAGCGGGGAAATGATGAAAACTCAGGTTGTAACTGGCTGTAATTGTTGATTAGCTGAACATAACCGAATGCTACAATGACATGGAGAAAACTGGGACATTTTCTAATTTTTCCTAGATTTTGTCAGATTTACTAATGCGAACAAAACCCACCGGAAGTTGTCACTGCATCTTTGCAAACATCTTCCTGGTTTTGTGATGTAAGCGTGAATAGAATCTATTATATTATAAATAAATGAGACATCATGTCCATTGTTTTGTCATTAATAATAAATCAGGATTTCAGTTGTAAAAAGTTGTATTTGACACACAGTGGCTGCTTCATATCTGGAGACGCAGATGAGTCAAGTTTATGACATTTAAAAATCGAAATCCTTCATACAGTTTAAAAAAAATAAAAAATAGAGCAGCTTGCCTTGGTTGTTTCTTTGAAAACAGCGACATCGTGTGGTGGTTCGGTTCATAACACCAATTTTATAGAACAGCGTGGGGCCTGGGTGCTGGTGTGTTCTACTTTCTCCTGCACGAGTCACATAGATAGACATTTACATAGAACCATGAACGTACCACAGCCTCTTTTGGTGTTTTTTTTTTTTTTTTTTTCAGTCTTAAAATCACACACATGTCCTGACAAATCCCTCCTGCTATGTCAAATTCTTTGCTCCAACCTTTGTTTGTAAAGTCAGTCAGACTCACCAAGTTCAGGAACAGTCTCCTATTATCAGTCATCATTATCAGTGTCGCTATTGTCACTTTTTATTGTTTTTGCTGTTAAATTTGTGGTGTCACCTGCAGATCGGGACGACAGATGGAAATTAGGATTTTTGCTATAATCTGTCATATTTACACTGCAATGTTGTAGATGTTCATTAATATGCACTGTCTCTATTAAATAAATAAATAAATAAGTTTAATGGGCTGATATTACACTATTTCTGATCTACATTATAATATTGTATTCTCATCAAAAACATAGTTGCTGTTTTTTTGTTTCATTCACACATATATTTCATTCACATATTTAGGCAGAATTCTGAATTCTTCTCTCAAACAGAAAACTCTCCACATTGTTCCACCTTGTTTTTAAACTCCACACGCCTTCACTAGAATCATTTGAATAATTTCAGCCGTGGAAATGTCCATCTCTGCTTAACTACTGTTAACTTTGAAAGCTGACATCATGACATCACAAGGTGGAACAGAGCATTTTGAGCTTTAGAGATATAAACAGATCATAAACGATAAACTTTTACGCCTTTGTTAACATTATTATTAGGTTGTACCACCATAAAAAAAAAAAAAAACCTTCTATCTTTTCATTTACATTGTTGTTTGTTTTGCATGATCATAAACGATAAAATTTTGTCCCTTTGTTAACACTGTTATTAGTTTGTACGACCATAAACACATATCTGTGTATCTATGTATGTATGTATATATATGTGTATATATGTATGTGTAAAAAACTAGAATTGATTAATAATAAAAAAATAAAAATAAAATTAAAAAAAGAGATATAAACAGATTAATAATAGAAGAACGTTTTTGTGTAATCTTCTATTATTATTAGTCTCTCTGGTGAAACAACAACAACACCAGTCTAATAGCACAAAATAAGACCTCTATTTATTTAAATCTACACATCTATAAATGTTAATAAATATGTAATAGTTTAAACTCTTGATAAAATTGTAAAACAGATGCAAATAGTGACGGGATTTGTTTAGAAACCGAGATCCTGGCGACGTCGTACACTACCGTAAACCACATCATGGCGGTGACTTCAGTTTGGGCTTTTTCTTAAACCAAAGTGAATTTCTGTCACTTTTTTACACTTTTCAACCAAAACTACAATTGTGAAAAACATATCTACAATTATCACAGTCCCACTTTTGTTATAATGGTTGTTTATGCGCAGTGTTGGGAAAGTTACTTTTAAAATGTATTCCCCTACAGATTACAGATTACATACTCCAACACGGTCCACACAGCATGATTTAGTCTTATTAAATCCTGTTTTAGACCTGGTTTAGGCCTAGTTTAGTCCTGGTTTTAGTCCTGCTTTAGTCCTGGTTTAGTCCTGGTTTAGTTCTGGTTTCGACCTAGTTTAGTCCTGGTTTAGACTTGGTTTAGTCCTGGTTTTGACCTAGTTTAGTCCTGGTTTCGACCTGGTTTAGTCCTGGTTTAGACCTGGTTTTAGTCCTGCTTTAGTCCTGTTTTAGTCCTGGTTTAGTCCTGGTTTAGTCTTGGTTTCGACCTAGTTTAGACCTGGTTTAGACTTGGTTTAGTCCTGGTTTAGTCCTGGTTTTGACCTAGTTTAGTCCTGGTTTCGACCTGGTTTAGTCCTGGTTTAGACCTGGTTTTAGTCCTGCTTTAGTCCTGTTTTAGTCCTGGTTTAGTCCTGGTTTAGTCCTGGTTTAGTCTTGGTTTCGACCTAGATTAGACCTGGTTTTAGACCTGGTTTAGTGTCCGGCAATGAGTGGAATCACCGAGAAAAGAAAAAAAAAGAAAAGAAAAGAAAAGAAAAGTGGATATAACCCAAAATGTGAAAACAGGAAAATACCTCCATGTAATCCATTTATTTCAACAAAGTAACTGTAATCCAATTACTCACTGAAACAGTAACTGTAACTGAATACAGTTACTCATAATTTGTACTCTGATTACGTAACTCCGGTACATGTAATCTGTTACTCCCCAACACTGTTTATAAATGTTAATAAATATGTAATAGTTTAAACTCTTGATAAAATTGTAAAACAGATGCAAAGAGTGACGTGATTTGTTTAGAAACCGAGATCCTCGCGACGTCATACACTACCGTAAACCACATAATAGCGATAAATTCAGTTTGCCATTTTTCTTAAACCAAAGTGAATTTCTGTCGCTTTTTTACACTTTTCAACTAAAACTACAATTGTGAAAAACATATTTACAATTATTACAGTCCCACTTTTGTTATAATGGTTGTTTATGCGTGATTTTCGTGATAAAGTGAATCGTTTTGCACTTTTATTCCCTCTATTACGGTAGTGGGAGGGGGCCGCATCCACAGTGACAGACACAATGGAGCTGCACCGAACATGAAAATACTGCAGCAGGTGCCTCTAAAAAAACAGTTATTTCCCCCGCGATTAACCTGTCAAAGTTCACATTTATCCTTTTTACTGCGAACTACAAGATTCTACTTTTGTGCCCGCGAATGTTTGCTTTTGTAGTCCTTTTGAGAGCAAGGCTAGTTAGCAGTTTAGCTATTTAGTGTAACGTTTGCTGCTTTGTTTTGGTTTTGCGGTGGATTAATTAAAGTGTTGTAGGTTTTTTAGAGTTTCTTTTAGCTTCATCATGCAGTTCCCGTTTGATATTAACCAGTTATTTCCTGAGAGAATTACCATCTTGGATCACACTCTTGTAACTGGTCGCAAATCAGCAGGAAGGTAAGAAATTAGCGTGAATATTTGCATTGTTTTGCTTGGATTAAAATGTATAATCTCACAATTCTGATACATTTTAGTTGTCAGGACACGTAAAGTCTTCTTCAGAATATGTGTTTTGTTTCTGTTTGTGGATTGGATCTAGAGATATTTGCAAAAAATAAAAAATAAAATGAGCAAAATGTCTTGACTTGAAGTGGACTAAAACAGGATGTTTTAGACCTGGTTTAGATTTAATTTAGATCCAGTTTAGACCTAGTTTAGACCTGGTTTAGACCTGGTTTTAGTCCTGTTTTAGTCCTGGTTTAGACCTGGTTTAGACCTGGTTTAGTCCTGGTTTAGTCCTGGTTTAGACCTTATTTTAGACCTGGTTTAGCTCCAGTTTAGACCTGGTTTTAGACCTGTTTTAAACCTAGTTTAGACCTGGTTTTAGACCTGGTTTTGACCTGGTTTAAGACTTGGTTTTAGACCTGGTTTTAGACCTGTTTTAGACCTGGTTTAGATCTAGTTTAGACCTGGTTTAGATCTAGTTTAGACCTAGTTTTAGTCCTGGTTTAGACCTTATTTTAGACCTGGTTTAGGTCTAGTTTAGACTTGGTTTTAGACCTGTTTTAGACCTGGTTTAGCTCTCATTTAGACCTGGTTTTAGACCTGCTTTAGACCTGGTTTAGCTCTCATTTAGACCTGGTTTTAGACCTGCTTTAGACCTGTTTTAGACCTGGTTTAGATCCAGTTTAAACCTGGTGTTAGACCTGGTTTAGACCTGGTTTAGATCTAGTTTAGACCTAGTTTTAGACCTGGGTTTAGTCCTGGTTTCCAAAAAAAATTAGCAAAATATCTTGACTTGGAGTGGACGTCAATATTTAGTCGATAACAAATCAATAACGCCACTTTTTATCCAAACTATATTGCAAATTAGTATATTTATCTTTGCTCACATTAATATATTCATCAGTATTTTATTTGTTGCATGTTTTGTACTTTTAGAAAATTAAAAAAACCTGTGTAAAAATGAAAAGAACAGAAATAAACACATATATTTAACTAACAATAAATGATACATACCAGATGCATTTTCTAAAAGGGCATTATTTTTATGTGTTTGTTTATTTATTTATATTTATATTTTGGTCTACGGTCTAATCTGAACAACTGTATTTGGATTAATTTCCTGGATACTGAGCCATTCTGGAGTCACATTAGAGAAGCCTAGACCAGATAGTTTATTAATATTTCTTTATATTGGACTGTATTTAACACCTTTTTTGTACAAACAAAATTTCGTTTGTACTCCTACACCAGCTGAGCCTTCAGGACTGTTGTTATCTTTGTAATCGAGCTGCTTGGTTATGGAAAAAAATAATTTTCAGGTTTTAGTCAATATTGAAATCACAATTGTTCAAACGATTATTTTTTTAGATACACAATGCATTTATTCAGCATTTCTCTCTCAAAACCACACTTTGGTATTGATAATTTACGCAAAACGTTCAAATTGAAAATAAATATAGGCTACAAATATGTATCTTAGAGCGGTTTTGCGATGTATAAACCATAAAATGAATAAAATATACTTTGAACATGAAATAACTTGAATTTAACTTATTTGTTTGGAGGATAAGCCCCTTGAAATGTTTCCCCATCTCGTTTTCGAGGGGGTCCTCATACACACAAAAACAAAAGACAGATACAGTAGGGAGACAGAAGGATATATAAATTCAAATAAGCATCAAAACAACAAAATCAACACAACCACAAACACACAAGAAACACACAAGTAACACACAAATAACACATAGAAAAACTTAAATATATCCAAAATAATCTATATATCCAGCTGTTCTTCAATCTCTCTATATAAAAAATTGACTAAATATACTTATTTATATAAAAAATATTCCCGAATAAACTTTGTTAAGCTTAAACGTTTCAACTCGATTATATGAGTTTGGAGATCATTTGACACACAAATTTAAATAGCGATAAAAATTCTGTTAATTGCACAGTTTTACTATGTAATTATTATTATACACAGTGTTGGGAAGGTGATTTTTAAAATGTATTCCCCTACAGATTACAGATTACATACACAAAAATGTAGTTTGTAACGGAATCCATTAAATTACTTAAAGTGAGTAATGTAATCTGAATACTTTGGATTACTTGATTTGCTGTAGAGAAGCAAAGACGAGGAAATCGTAAAGTAAGATGTTTTATCTGCTAAAAGAAAATAAAAAGCCCAGACTTTACTTACCAAATTAATTAAACAGACTTTACCAAATTAAAAATATTATTGATAGAAGACGAGGAGACACGGTCCACACAACATGGTTTAGTCCTGTTAAATCCTGTTTTAGTCCTGGTTTAGATCTGGTTTATACCTGGTTTAGTCCTGGTTTAGACCTAGTTTAGACCTGGTTTAGACCTGGTTTATATCTGGTTTATATCTGGTTTAGACCTGGTTTAGACCTGGTTTAGTCCTGGTTTAGTCCTGGTTTAGTCCTGTTAAATCCTGTTTTAGTCCTGGTTTAGATCTGGTTTAGTCCTGGTTTAGTCCTGGTTTTAGTCCTGGTTTAGTCCTGGTTTAGTCCTGGTTTAGACCTAGTTTAGTCCTGGTTTAGACCTGGTTTAGTCCTGGTTTAGACCTGGTTTAGACCTGGTTTAGTCCTGGTTTAGTCCTGGTTTAGTCCTGATTTAACCCAAAATGTAAAAACAGGAAAATACCACCATGTAATCCATTTATTTCAACAAAGTAACTATAATCCAATTACCACTCACTGAAACAGTAACTGTAACTGAATACAGTTACTCATAATTTGTACTCTGATTACATAACTCTGGTACATGTAATCTGTTACTCCCCAACACTGAATATACATCAAGAAAGAAAACAAGATTATTTGGATATAATTCAAAACTATTTAATTATACTTTTGACACGCGATAATTTTAGATTTTTTTGAGTAACCTGACTGCACACCCCCGAGTTTAACCACAAAATTCTCAGTTTTCCTAAATCACACACTACTGTTATTGTAATATTTGTTTTTAGATAGTCATGTCCCTCTTTCTGATTAAAGTAGGAGCCAATATAATCCATAAAATCTTTAAAATCTACAAAATGTTGAACTTAATCAATAATACTAACACCAAGGCTTGTGATTTCTCGAACTATATCCATACAACCACTTCAATCTGCATTTTGTTGTCATTTTCCCCCATTTTCTACACCAGTACAGCTCTCTTTAACCACTATGCAGCCTTTATATGCATTAATACGTGCATATTGTTGTATTTTATTGCTTAAATGTCACTAGAAAATCATGTTCATCATGCCGGGATTGTTGTTGATGCTCCAAGCAGAAAATCCTACGTCCAGTAAGCTCTCAGAGTGGATTAGGACACACCCTGAGGCCATCTGCAGACCGGCATGTAATGGAGTATGAGAGCCGGCGTTCACTGGAGGCCATTATAGCTGTGGAGCGTTTGTTTATGCGCTGTCAGTCAGATTTCCAAAGGCTGAGTTAAAAGTGCGTCTGCTCTTTTTTTATAGACCCGATCTCCAAGAAAACATCGCCACAGTGCTGGACGAGCTGGGGAAAGCCTCTGCGAAGGTCAGTTATGGGATTGATACTTTTTTTACTAAATTATTTTGTTACAGCGCTACAGTTTTGTTGAATGTTTAGAGGAAAGAAACTCATTTATGCGACACATTTGACATTTTCACTGTTTTGATGATTAAAATGTTTGTGTTTCATATGAACTTTGGACAAGAAGTGGTTTGACAAAGACTTTTAGTATCACAGCCATGATTTAACCTTTATATTTAATTGAATCGTATCGAAACATAAGCTCACTGTATCGAGAGATGTATCGTATCGAGGCCTGTGTATCGAGAGATGTATCGTATCGAGGCCTGTGTATCGAGAGATGTATCGTATCGAGAGATGTATCGTATCGAGGCCTGTGTATCGAGAGATGTATCGTATCGAGGCCTGTGTATCGAGAGATGTATCGTATCGAGGCCTGTGTATCGAGATATGTATCGTATCGAGGCCTGTGTATCGAGAGATGTATCGTATCGAGGCCTGTGTATCGAGAGATGTATCGTATCGAGGCCCATGTATCGAGATATGTATCGTATCGAGGCCTGTGTATCGAGAGATGTATCGAGGCCTGTGTATCGAGAGATGTATCGTATCGAGGCCTATGTATCGAGAGATGTATCGTATCGAGGCCTGTGTATCGAGAGATGTATCGTATCGAGGCCTGTGTATCGAGAGATGTATCGTATCGAGGCCTGTGTATCGAGAGATGTATCGTATCGAGGCCTGTGTATCGAGAGATGTATCGTATCGAGAGATGTATTGTATCGAGGCCTGTGTATCGAGAGATGTATCGTATTGAGAGATGTATCGTATCGAGGCCTGTGTATCGAGAGATTTATCGGCAACTTCTGAATGATCCCCCGTCCTACACAATACACACATTAGCAAACCGTGTCAAATAAGTTTTAAGATTGTCTGAAAACTCAAGAAAAAATACAAAATGGATTTAAACCGCATGTTTTCCGGAGTCTGTGATCGATACGAGCGTTCATGGTTCTGTTCAGGTTTGATTTATCAATAAAAATGTGAAAGTGATGAACTGAAAAGCTGTCAAAATCATTTCATCTGTTGTGGTTCCAGTTAAGACCGTTCTTTCCGGTCAGATTAAATTTAATGTTATATATGTTAAATTAGATTTCAGATTGAAGTCTAACAAGCCTCAGACCGAGCAGTGCCTCCAGTTAGCATCACACCTAAGTTTGCAAGTAAATTTGCAAAGATATATTAAAATGGAGTTTAGATTATTAACAACATTCTCAATTTGCAATTTCTAGCAGCCAAATGTTAAGAAAATTAGGAAAAAGTTAAGAAAATTTAAAGTTTAATCCAAGTTCAGTATTTTATTCACAGCATTTTTATTGTGTTTAGAAGATTTTTTAATATTTGGTAAAAATGCAAAAAAAAAAAAAAAAGAGAGAGAAAAGAATAGACATAAATAAAAAAATTAAACTGAACAATAAATGAAAAGTTAAGTTATTTAATTTATAATTTGTTGCTAACATGGAATCACAAACCACATGAAATTTACAATTTTCTTTTATGTCTTTATTTGTTTATATTTATTTATATTTATATTTTGGTCTATTGTAGTCATCTAAACAACTGTATTTGGAGGATAGTGAGGCTGAGACGGGCGTCATAGTTGGAAATGGCAGTTGTACAGTGTAGTGCATTTCTCCTGATCAATAAAAGCCGTGGAGGATTTCACCCGATGCGCAGCTCAAATGACCAACAGGCCCTGACCAGAACGTCTGTACAAGAATGAATTGAATGAATTTGTTTTATTATTGTGTCATTTTATAAGTGAGTTTCATTGTTGACAAAAGCGCGCGTTGCATGCTGGGAATTATTTTGGTCGGCGGCAAGAAACACTAATTCAACACGATGGACGGAGCGAGAAAGCACGTAAAGGGTATTGATCCCGGTTATTTATCCACTCTTAACGGCAGAGGACTGAAGACGATTTGACCAGAAATTGGTCATAAGCATCAACGGACGACAAATCACCCTTTTCAACCTCTACAAAAGGTGGACCAAACCAAATTTCTGGTCAGAATCTCCAACTACCTGGACAAATATTCACTTTGGTGATATCCACAATGACTTGGTGGAAACTCCTGGGCCATTCACAGCAGAAAAGATGAAAACCTCCAAGAGTCTCGATGTGTTGTTGAACTTGTTGGAGTCCACGGTTTGTTAGGATCTTCTACGTTTGCTCTGCGAATGTTTGAAAGGCGTTTAATTCACCGTTAGCGGTTCTTTTCACTCAGAATACGAAAAAGACATTTTCCTTCTTCCGTGCTTCTATTTGTGCATCCGATAATGCAGCAGGAATTTACCATTATCGGGGATAAATACGCGAGGTTACACACTGTGTTTGACCACTATCCTGTTTCTTGCCTCCGACCAAAATATTTCCCAGCAGCAACGTGGGCTTTTAATAACAATGACGTCAGCTGAAACTCGCCTATTGGTTTATAACATATAAGACCATCAACAAAATGCAATAGGCCAAACTGATACACCATCCCTTTGTTATTATTATATTATATTGTGATGTGTGAGCTACTGTGTCCAAATAATCTCCCTTGTGGATCAATAAAGTTTGTCTAAGTCCAAGTATCTCCAAAGCAAAGCAGTATTATAGATCAGAATCTGAACCTGATTTAGTCTCAGGTGTAATTTTAGTCGAGCCTCTCTCCAAAACGCCTAAAATAGAACATTATGTGGAACCAAAACTCTATTCTCCATACTTTTATTATAGCATTAAGGGCACAAACTGCGCTAATTTAAGTTTATGAGCTTCAAAAATCGCTCACTCATTTGTAAACACTTCCCTTAAAGCCTGCTAACAATATTTGTACCAGCAGAGGGCGCCAAACTTCAGTAAATTTCTACTATAATAAACAAAAAGCAGGAGTAGGAGTTTGGGGAATGTTCAGCAGCATAAACTTCCCATTTATGGAAGTATTTATCATAAGTGAACATACTTTTATGGTAGAGCAAAACTGGCGTTACTGGTGCGGTTACACGCTCGAGGTCCTTGTAAAACCGCTGTGTGCATTTCTAATTTAACTACACCCCAGATTAGACAAGTTTGTTCATCTCGTTTAAACTTTTTAATCGATTAAAGGGCCTGTTCTTGATTTTTTCCCCTATGTATTTGAGGAAAATGAGTCTTTCACCAGTAGAGAAATCTTCTATAATCAGTGTTGGGAAGGTGACTTTTAAAATGTAATCCCCTACAGATTACAGATTACACACACCAAAATGTAGTTTGTAACAGAATCCATGAAATTACTTAAAGTGAGTAATGTAATCTGAATACTTTGGATTACTTGATTTACTGTAGAGTAACAAAGACTAGGATGGTTTAGACTTGGTTTTAGTCCTGGTTTAGATCTAGTTTAGACCTGGTTTTAGTCCTGGTTTAGATTTAGTTTAGACCTGGTTTTAGTCCTGGTTTAGATCTAGTTTAGACTTGGTTTTAGTCCTGGTTTAGATCTAGTTTAGACCTGGTATTAGTCCTGGTTTAGATCTAGTTTAGACCTGGTTTTAGTCCTGGTTTAGACCTGAATTTAGAGCTGTTTTAGACCTGGTTTAGATCTAGTTTAGACCTGGTTTTAGTCCTGTTTTAGTCCTGGTTTAGACCTGGTTTAGTTCTAGTTTAGTCCTGGTTTAGACCTGGTTTAGTTCTAGTTTAGACCTGGTTTTAGTCCTGGTTTGAGTTCCAGTTTAGACCTGGTTTTAGTCCTGGTTTAGACCTGGTTTAGTTCTAGTTTAGACCTGGTTTTAGTCCTGGTTTAGTCCTGATTTAGACCTGGTTTAGTTCTAGTTTAGACCTGGTTTTAGTCCTGGTTTAGACCTGGTTTAGATCTAGTTTAGTTCTAGTTTAGTTTCCGGCAATGAGTGGAATTACCACTATAGCCCAAAATGTGAAAACATTAAAATACCACCATGTAATCCATTTATTCCAACAAAGTAACTGTAATCCAATTACCACTCACTGAAACAGTAACTGTAACTGAATACAGTTACTCATAATTTGTACTCTGATTACGTAACTCTGGTACATGTAATCTGTTACTCCCCAACACTGTCTATTGAGGTCAAAATAAGTCTGTTGTGTTCTGTCTGCATCTAATTATAAAGTTTTGTATTGTCTTCGAAGGCAAATCAGTAAAAATCAGGTAAAAATGAATCAGTGCCTTACCTTTAAATGCCCACTTTATACACGACTACAGTCTGCTTCGCTTGTAAACTACTTGGTTTACAGCGGCCCCTTGTTTATCGTGGGTGTTATGTTCTAAAAATAACCCGCGCAAAGTAGTCAACTTTATATTTTACAATTATTTTATCTGTTTTAAGGCTGTAAAACTCCTCAGCACAAACTTTATACACTTTTCTCACACAGGACATTTACAACACTTTTTACTTCCTTCTTAAAACTTATTGCTGCTGTCGTCCTTTTGTTATTTTCCTCCTTCTTTATGTAACGAACCGAAGATTTATTTATTCCGTACTGGAGCCCGACAGCGCAGAGTCCTGCACGGGGCCAGTTTTGGAGACCTGTACCCGCGCAGTACAACACCGCACCCGCCCGTCAACCTGAGATAATGTCAAATTTTTACGGACTGAACCATGACTAAACCAGGACTAAACCAGGACTGAACCAGGACTGAACCAGGACTAAACCAGGACTAAACTAGGACTAAACCAGGACTAAACCAGGACTGATTTCAGGACTGAAGAGGAGGACAAAACCAGAACTGAACTAGGACTAAAACGGGACTAAAACGGGACTAAACCACGACTAAACCAGGACTAAACTAGGACTAAACTAGGACTAAACCAGGACTAAACCGGGACTGATTCCAGGACTGAAGAGGAGGATTAAACCAGGACTGAACTAGGACTAAAAGGACTAAAACGGGACTAAAACAGGACTAAAACGGGACTAAAAAGGAGGAGGAAAACGGGACTAAAAAACAGGACTAAAACGGGACTAAACCAGGACTAAACTAGGACTAAACCAGGACTGAACCAGGACTTAACCAGGACTCACTGTCGGGACGGACTCGGAGGTGATCACAGGAGAAAGGACCGGCTCAGCTCCGCACCTCACAGAGGTAAGCGCGGCCCGATTGCGTTTGTGGACACTCTGCTTCTGTGTTCTCTCCCTTAAGTCCCGGTTTAGTCCTGGTTTAGTTCTGGTGTAGTCCTCGTTTAGTCCTGGTTTAGTCCTGACCTGCCCGTGTGTAATCACTACTCACCCGTAAAATTCCAGAACTTTGAAACCCGCCCGTTTCTGCCACTATTTACCCGTACTCGACCCCGGTGCAGGACTCTGCTACAGCCGCGTAACTTCTCCCTTCCTTCAGCGTGTCCAGAAGTCCATCTTTTTGTGCGATGGTTTGCATCTTCCTCCGCCTCACGGGTGCGACCGCAGGAGCCTTTGTCGGTGCAGAACATTTCGTCGACATTGTGGGTTTTGTCGGGGAGAAAACTCGCAAACACACAGCACTTCAAAATCACACTGCTAGAGAGCGAACATTTATGTAAATCTGTCAAGCTGAACACATTCTGAACTGTACAGGAGACACGGCACGGAGGAGATTGATTGACAGTGGTCTGCAGTCTCTTAGCCAATCAGGACGCAGGGGGAGGAACACAGTGCACGCTCATACACTGTAAAAAATTGCACTAAAAATCATCCGCGAAACAGCGAGGCCGCGAAAAGTGAACCGCAGTACATCTGTAACTGGCTCCGCGTGAACCACACTGACAAACCTCTGAGCGTTAAAAGTACAGCGCGTTTTTCTGTGTTGACATGTTGTGTAATGTGACTTTAGTTTACAGCCTGACGTCCTGTTAGAAGTGTCAATCTACGGCAGCCCTGCGGGGACAACCTACTATATCTGTACTATATACAAACATAACAGCAACTGCGTTTTTTCATCCTTCACTGTACGTCACTGTCGTAATCAGAGGTGGGTAGAGCGAGTATTGTACGTCACTTCAAAACTATTTAACTAAAAGTACAAGTAAACATAGGTTAAGTCAACAAGTAAGTACAGTAAACAAGTAAATATTTAACTAAAAGTACAAGTAAACATAGGTTAAGTACAAGCAACTTTAAAGGTAAGTAAGTACAACATAAGTACAAGTAACTAAAAGTACAAGTAAACATAGGTTAAGTACAAGCAACTTTAAAGGTAAGTAAGTACAACTAAGTATAAGTACAAGTAAATATTTAACTAAAAGTACAAGGAAACATAGGTAAAGTACAAGTAACTTTAAAGGTAAGTATGTACAACTAAGTATAAGTACAAGTAAATATTTAAGTAAAACTGCAAGTAAATATAAGTAAAGTACAAGTAATTACAAGTATAAGTACAAGTAATAAATATTTAAGTAAAAGTGCAAGTAAAGTACAAGTATAAGTACAAGTAAATATTTAAGTAAAATTACAGTTAGTTTAAAGTAAGTAAGTACACATAACTATAAGTACAAGTAAATATTTAAGTAAAAGTACAAGTAAAAGTAAACAAGTAAGTTTAAAGGTAAGTAAGTACAACTAAGTATAAGTACAAGTAAATATTTAACTAAAAGTACAAGGAAACATAGGTAAAGTACAAGTAACTTTAAAGGTAAGTATGTACAACTAAGTATAAGTACAAGTAAATATTTAAGTAAAACTGCAAGTAAATATAAGTAAAGTACAAGTAATTACAAGTATAAGTACAAGTAATAAATATTTAAGTAAAAGTGCAAGTAAAGTACAAGTATAAGTACAAGTAAATATTTAAGTAAAATTACAAGTTAGTTTAAAGGTAAGTAAGTACACATAACTATAAGTACAAGTAAATATTTAAGTAAAAGTACAAGTGTAAATATGTAAAGTTCAAGTAAGTTTAAAGGTAAGTAAGTACAAGTATTTACAAATATGATTACAAGTAAATATTTAAGTAAAACTGCAAGTAAATATAAGTAAAGTACAAGTAAGTATAAAGGTAAGTAAGTACAAGTAACTATAAGTACAAGTAAATATTTAAGTAAAAGTACAAGTAAATATTAGTAAAGTACAATAAGTATAAAGGTAAGTAAGTACAAGTAACTATTAGTACAAGTAAATATTTAAGGAAAATTACAAGTAAATATTTAAATGTACAAGTAAATATAAGTAAAGTTCAAGTAAATATTTAAGTTAAAGTACAAATTCATATTTATGTAAAAGTACAAGTAAATATAAGTAAAGTACAAGTAAATATTTCAGTAAAAGTGCAAGTAAATATCAGTCAAAGTGCAAGTAAGTATAAATAAAATACCAAGTAAGTATATGTAAATAAAGGTCAAATAAATTTAAGTAAAATTGCAAGTAAAAGTACAAAATGTAATGATTCAAGAAAATACAAAAAAAAAAAATTATCTAAGTAAGAGTACTGTTATTTCAATAAAAAAATTATATACACTAAAGTCAAAAGTTTGGACATACCATCTCATTCAGTGTTTTTTTTTTCTTTATTTCTACCACTTTTTTTCATTTTAAATATAACGTGTGTATATATATTTAAAAGTTTAAAAGCTACTCAAGTAAATGTAACTTGAGTACTACCCACCTCTGAGTATCGTGTAGTATGAATATTTATTTTTGATACTTAAATGATTTTGTGTTTTAAGTCTTGTCTTAAAACCCACTTTTATTCTCTGGTCCTCTGTGTTTTTTATTTTTTAAATTTATTTGTTTTACTTATTTATTGCTATTTTCAGATTTTTATGGTTTTGCTTTTATTTGATTTTTACTGGTTTTATTTTTTTAGTACTGGTATGATCAAAATTTTAGCAATTTATTTTTTAGTTGTGCCAATTTTCTGATCCCTGTGCAGCACTTTGGAAACTGCCTTGTTTGTTAAATGTGCTGTATAAATAAAGTGGGTTTGGATTTGTATAAATAAAGTTATTCTAACACCGTGAATTATGAATGTCTCTCTGTCCGTCTGTCCCCAGGCCCAGCAGCTGACAGCTCCCATCACAAGTGCTTCCAAACTGCAGACACAGAAGCACCAGCTGTACCTCATGAAAGATGGAGAAGGCCACGGGTACGTCACAACCGCACTGGAAAACATCCTGATCATTTTGTTTGTTTGACTCATCAAAAACAGTTGTATTTTTGCTTCATTCACACGTGTCTAAGTAAAACTTTTCTAATAATAAATAATAATAATAAATCTTTATTCATAAAGCACTTAGAAAACAAGGTTGACAAGGTGCTCTACAAGCCACAAAGAACAATACAAACAGCATAAAAACAGCAAACAGAAGGCAAATAAAAACAGTAGGGCTGAGTATTATTAAGAAGTTGCCAATACGATGCATATCTCAATACATAGGCCATGATACGTTACATATCTCGATACAGACGCCACGATACGTTATATATCTCGATACAGAGGCCACGATACGATACATATCTCGATACATATGCCACGATACTATATATATCTCGATACAGAGGCCACGATACGATACATATCTCGATACATATGCCACGATACGATGCATATCTCGATACATAGGCCACGATCCGACGCATATCTCGATACATAGGCCACGATCCGATGCATATCTCGATACACAGGCCACGATACAATTCATATCTCGATACATAGGCCACGATACAATTCATATCTCGATACATAGGCCACGATACAATGCATATCTCGATACATAGGCCACGATACGATGCATATCTCGATACATAGACCACGATATGATGCATATGTGGATACACAGGCCACGATACGATGCATATCTCGATACATAGGCCACGATACAATACATACATCGATACATAGGCCACGATACGATATATATATCTCGATACAGAGGCCACGATACGTTACATATCTCGATACAGAGGCCACGATACGATGCATATCTCGATACATAGGCCACGATATGAGATATACCTCGATACACAGGCCACAATACGATGCTTATCTCGATACATAGGCCACGATACGATACATACCTCGATACATAGGCCACGATACGATACATATCTCGATACAGAGGCCACGATACGATACATATCTCGATACAGAGGCCACGATACGATGCATATCTCGATACATAGGCCACGATATGAGATATACCTCGATACACAGGCCACAATACGATGCTTATCTCGATACATAGGCCACGATACAATACATACATCGATACATAGGCCACGATACGATATATATATCTCGATACAGAGGCCACGATACGTTACATATCTCGATACAGAGGCCACGATACGATGCATATCTCGATACATAGGCCACAATACTATGCATATCTCAATATAGAGGCCACAATACGATTCATATCTCGATACACAGGCCACAATACGATGCTTATCTCGATACATAGGCCACGATACGATATATATATCTTGATACAGAGGCCTCAATATGATGCATATCTCGATACAGTGAGCTTTCGATACTATACGATATATTTCAAATCGATTCTCTAAGGTTCAATAAAAAATAAAGGCTAAATCATGGCTGTGATACTAAAAGTCTTTGTTAAACCACAAAACAAAACACAACTCCAGGTCTGTCTGTGATAAGGAAACAACATTATAACATATTGGCGTTTTAATGTTATGGAGCTGGACAATATAACTCTAAAAAGATTGTAGTTTTACACCTTTAACTTTGAATTCTTTGTGCCGTATTTGAACCTCATTAACCAGGACGTTTGGGACATTTCGGATGCACAAAATATTGTCTTCTTAATTATCTGAGTCCAAAAATAGTGCAGTATTCTGAGCCCTCCCCTCTGGACATACCTGCGCCGGGCTCCTGTGTCTTGCTGGCTCACAGTTCAGGTCAGTGTTAGTGTCACAGTCCTGAGCGAGTGGGTTTAAGGGCAGAGAGAATGAGTCATGAGACGCTCACAGGGAGAGACTGTTCTTTTTCAAATCTGCGCTCACCTTTTGTGCTGGAGTTTGGCTGCATTAAATAGAAGAAGTTTTCCCTGTAAAAATGACAATATATTCTATGTGTGTTTCCAAACCTTTTTTTTTTTTGGGACCCATATTTTAAAAGTAATAAAACTTTGCGACCTGAGCCAATAGACGTTATTTTTAAATCACAAAATAAATGTGTGACCATTATTGAACATTAATGAGGATATTTTATTGTTGAGTGATCGTTGTCTCTCTGGACAATTAGTATTACCGTATTTTTCGGACTATAAGGCCCAATAGGCGAGTTTCAGCTGACGTCATTGTTATTAAAAGTTGCATGCTGGGAAATATTTTGGTCGGAGGCAAGAAACACGATAGTGGTCAAACACAGTGCGTAACGTCACGTATTTATCCCCGATAATGGTAAATTCCTGCTGCATTATCGGATGCACAAATAGAAGCACGGAAGAAGGAAAATGTCTTTTTCGTATTCTGAGTGAAAAGAACCGCTAACGGTGAATTAAACGGCTTTCAAACATTCGCAGAGCAAACGTAGAAGATCCTAACAAACCGTGGACTCCAACAAGTTCAACAACACATCGAGACTCTTGGAGGTTTTCATCTTTTCTGCTGTGAATGGCCCAGGAGTTTCCACCAAGTCATTGTGGATATCGCCGAAGTGAATATTTGTCCAGGTAGTTGGTGATTCTGACCAGAAATTTGGTTTGGTCCACCTTTTGTCGGGGTTGAAAAGGGTGATTTGTCGTCCATCGATGCTTATGTCCAATTTCTGGTCAAATGGTCTTGGGTCCTCTGCTGTTAGAGTGGATAAATAACCGGGATCAATACCCTTTACGTGCTTTCTCGCTCCGTCCGTTATGTTGAATTAGTGTTTCTTGCCGCCGACCAAAATAATTCCCAGCATGCAACGCGCGCTTTTGTCAACAATGAAACTCGCCTATATCAATAATGTTGAGTTCTCTTGTCTATTTTCATACATAAGGCCCCAGATTATTAGCCTGATTCATGAGCCGGTTTCACTTCGTACAAACCGTCTGATCTCGCAGTATTAGGATTCGTTCGCTCGACAGTAGGAAGGTACTTTTTTATTTAACCAATCGCTGCTATTTTTTCGTGACGTATGTAAAGCGCCACTAATGGGGATAACTGGTATATTAAACTTTTCCCAAATCCCGTAGGAAGAAGGGCAATAACGTCTTTCCCCTTGATAAAATTCACCAAACATTCTCTTTATTCCGGCTTTAAATCCTCAATCTCGGGAATCGTTGCCAACACACAATGTATGGCTCTTCGCTGATTGGCTGGTGCCCGAACTCACACTTCTGGGGTTTTTGTGTGTTCCGATTCCTGACCTAGTCGCTGGAGAGAAATGAAATTGAGTGGAGGCACTAGGTGGCGCCAGCCTGGCTAGGAAAAATGGGTACTGAAAACAAAACTTCATCTATGCTTGAGTTTGATATTTTGAAATGTTATATGCCAAAAAACAGGTTTGTGAAATAATGCAAACTAGGTGCGTGCAAAAATATATCATTTGATGTGATGATACAGTATAAGATTATAAGGTGCATTAAGCGGCACAAACGGACGACACTTGAGACTTGACTTGTTTATTTCCCATGAGTGGAACTCAAATATACAGTAATAATAAGAGTAATGATGTGTTTAATGCAGCTTTGCGCACATTTGTTTATGTTTTATAGAAACAAAACTTAAATCAACATGGCTTAAACTATAAGTGATTAAAAAAAAAAACAAAAAAAAACATGCCACTCCTTGTGCGCTGATGGGGTTCAACTTCTGTTGGAGTAAAGAACATGACTCAGTGGAATATATGTGAAAATCAGTGTGAGGCCAGTAAGCACAACCAGAATTAATACATAAGGTGCACCGGATTATAAGGCTCACTGTTGATTTTTCAGAATAAACAAGGAAAAACAGTAATCAGTGTTTCCCACAGAAAACTGGTTAGGCAAGGCTTCGGAAAAAGTGAGGAGTGGGGTACGCAGCGATGTATGTACATGTACATCGCAGACCTACATGCAGATCCCAAGGGCGACCCAAAAAAAAAAAAAAATCTCGACCCTCAAAGTATTAGAGATGTAACAGTAACCAAAATATCGTGATATCGTTTCGTCAAAAGTCTCACAATAATATCATGGTCAATTACAAGTCTCTTTGCTTTAATGAAAAGTGATGGTGCAGCAATAGCTAAAAAAAACAGAACTACATAGACCATGATCCTTTGCTCTGTTTAAGGGCGAGGCTATAAAGAAAACGCTGTTATTACTAGTCTTGTCAAGGCATTTTAAAAAGAAAAAGTGCATATTATTCACCATTTTGTTACACTTCACAAAATATCGCAATAAATATCGTACCGTGAAATGTATATTGTGAAAGTATCGTACCGAGAGTTTTGGATATTATTACATCCCTAATATATATTAAAATGACCAAAGTGGTAAAAAAGAAAATATGGTAACAGCACCAGTCCAGATTTCTCAGTTCTGATACCAGGAGTGGGCAATTATTTTTACCACATGAGAAACAGAAACAGAAAACTCAATTCTGCATAATATTAAATCTATTTCTTTATAAAAAGCAGTAAACATTATTGTTTTGACGAGCTGGTAAGAGTTTATGTTATGACTAAGCAATGAAAATATGAGGTTGTTTTACATAAAAAGTCATTAAAAAGCACCTCTGAAATAAAAGCAATTCAGTGTTAGTCCTTGCATGAGGTAAAATTATAAAATATGTTTATTTTGTAATTCCGGGCGAGTCAGAGTCAACCAAAGAGCCGTCTGTTTGTGGTCCAGGAGCTGTACAATGCCCCGGTTTGTCCGATTTGATGTGGACACTTTAGCTTTAAGTATCTGCAGATAGAGCAGAGACTGAACACAGTATTTATTTCATTTAAACAAACATAACACAAGACAAAACTGACCCAAATGTGTTATGTAGCTGTTATTTATCACTCTAGTACAGGCGTCTCCATCCTGTAGCTCGTCAAAGGATTTCTGAATTACATGTATTGTCCTGAATAAGTAAAATTTGATCAATTAAATCCCTATTACCAATGTACATTTATTATTTTGATGCCTAACTTTGTGCACTAATAAACGGATAATGGCTTATGTTTTATTGGTATCTGACTGTACCTCATTTAAGGCTCGCTGTGGCACTTAAATATACTCAATTTCTTGCTCTCTGGCATTTTCGTTTTGTAAAGGACCTCACCAGAGGAAAAAGGTTGGAGACCCCTGCTCTTGTATTTACAACTACTACAAAAGTATCGATAAAACGTCTAACACACAGGTGTCAAACATAAGGCCCGGGGGCCGGATCCGGCCCTCCAAGACCTTTAATGTGGCCCTTGGCTGATTTTCTACTAAAATATTTTAATTGTATTTTCTATTAAAATATTGGTAATTTTCTGTGGTGCTTAGCATAACAGCATCTCCAGTGTCTCTGTACGTGGCCCCCCCCACCAGAGCAGCACAAATGAAGACTTGTCTCTTTCCAAACGCTCTTAAAGGACGATCGTTTTGACTGTTGACCATGACACCCTCATCAGAAAAATGTCAAAAATGAGAAAAGTGGAGCCGAGTGCAGGATTTTCCAAGAAAAATTGAATTCGTATTTGAATACAAGTTCATGTTAAAACATTGTGTTGAAATTGCATTTATCTTAAAGTTTCAGGTTTGTACATAATATTATAATATTTTGTAAAAGAAACAGTTCATCAGTTAAAAAAGATTTCTGTAATAGATTTGGGTTTTTCTGCACAAATATTTGAACTTATTGCTGTTTTTGGGGTTTATATGACATGAGATTTCTGATCCGGCCCCTTTGGGATCAAAGTCGGTTGGATTCGGCCCCCGGACCAAAATGAGTTTGACACCCCTGCTCTAACATTATGAAACGTTTAGGGCCATCTACAGCCAGTAAATAGTAAATAGTCTTATTATTAGGGGTGTAACACTATCCAAGTCTCACGATACGATATCGTCACGGTATGAACCTCACGGTACGATATTTATTGTGATATCATGTGAAAGCTCATGATATGGAGGAGGGATATAACAATATCCATATCTCTTGGCACGATATTTTCACGATATACATCTCATTGTACGATATTTATTGCGATATTTTGTGGAGACTAAACAGCTAAAACTGTTAATACGCTACTTTTTCCTCTTAAAATGCCTTGACAAGACTTAATCCAAAGAACTAAAACTTAAAAGTGTTAGAACTGTTATTTCTTCTTGTCGTCTGCACTGAAAGGGAGCAAAGGATCATGGTCTATGTAGTTCCCTCTGTCTTTTTTTTTGGCTATTGCTGCACCATAACTCTTAATTTAAGCAAAGAGACTTGTTGTGATGGTCCACGATATTACTGTGAGAACTTTGACGATACAATATCACGATATTTCGGTTATTGTTACATCCCTACTTGTTACTAGTGCTGGGTATCATTAAGAAGTTGCCGATACGATACATTTCTCGATACAGTGAGCTTTCAATTCAATAAGATATATTTCAAATCGATTCGATACGGTTCAATAAAAACAAAAGCTAAATCATGGCTGTGATACTAAAAGTCTTTGCTAAACCACTTCCTGTGCAAAGTTACAAAACATGCCCATTTTAAATCATCAAAACAGTGAAAATATCAAATTTATTTCCTCTAAACAAGCAACAAAACTGTGGCTGTAACAAAATAATTTAGTAAAATATACCAAAAAATACTCTTGGTGATATATCGATACAGCAGCCCACGGTATCAATACTGTATCATCACATTAAACAATACGATATATCAATATTTTAATATTTTGCACACCCCTACTTATTACCGTATTTTCCGGGCTATCACCATCAAAAAACGACCGCGCGCCCCGCAATCCAGAGCGTCCTATACACGAATCCACTCGGGTGTCCCAGCACGACTTCAGTAAACTACAAAGCCGCAAACACACACGGAGCAGACAGCGACCGCACAGCGAAAAACACCCACAGACACACTCATCACTCCACGCCGACGAGGAACGGAACGGAGGAACGAACCGAAAAAGCGAGTCCAATGTGCCACTTCTAGACACGACTGAACAACTGAGTCACTGCAAACACGCCGACAATCCGTTGGTCCCAGACAGCACCTCCCTACACGCCACAACTGAACAAAGCCCAGAGTCACCGTGAACGAACAAACAAACAAAACCACTCACCCATCACACTGTTGTGTTTCATTTAAAGTCCAGTGCGGTTTATTTGTGAAAAAGTTCGAAAATAGACCATTTAATGACAGTGCGCCTTATAATCCAGAGCACCTAATAGTGTGGAAAATACGGTACATCGTTTATTATGTCGAACCATTATATTGGCTCATCCTGTACATTTTTCATTATCATCACAGATGTCCGATACCACTACTGGAACATTCCTTACAGCTATTTTAGTTAGAGATGTAACAGTACAATTGATACTTTGAACAATCATCTCATTGTGTGGTAGAACAGAAACTGACAATTCTTTGCAGTGACTCACTCTGGGGGTGTTCTACATGCATCTCTAATGGTGCAATGTTTAGGAGTTGCCGTAGTGACACAATGCACACATGAGCAAACACTGTCATGAAAGTTTTAAGACGGGTTGAAATCAGCTCAGATGTTGTAGTTCCAGCTGAGTCAGTTCTTTCTGGTCAGAGTGTGTTAAAATAAAGCTCAGATTAAAGTCTAACAGCGCTTCAGACAGAGCAGTGCCTACAGTTAGCATCACATCCCCAGGGAATTTTAATGACATCAGCTGCAAAGTGTCAACAGATGAATCCCATAATCATTAAACTTGTGTTGTCTCCACAGCGGACGGGGAGCAGTGGTGGGGTTTCTCAAAGTTGGTTTTAAGAAGTTATTCCTGCTGGTGAGTGTCTGTCCCTGCTGTGATTTGCCTTTAGTCACTTTCACTGTTGACGTTTGTGTTTTATTTCGTATGTCGAGGCATTTCAGAGCTTATAATTAGATCCACGCAGCGTCGCCATTGAAACATGAAAAACAAACTGCTCAAATCACACAATCCAAAAGTCCTTAACTTCTGTCACATGCTGCACTTCTTAATTGGTCAAAAATCACAAAATATTAAGTTAAAAAAGTAAGATAATCATTTTAAAAGTTTAAGAGCTGTTCAGTGTGACAGTCAGCCAGCCACAAGAGCAGCCAAACACCCCCATGGCAGCGATGGAACTGACCAATTAATGAATAAACCTTTTTCACAATGGTCGGAAGTGTCATGCTGTAGGTTTGTAGAACTTCTGGTTACTGTTTTTTTGTGGCAAAATGTGTGTGTAAATGAGTGTGTATACATGCACATCAATAACCCGGTTATGATCGGGTTTTTTGAGTATCCCGGTTTCTTGATGGTGCATGTAAACGCAGTAACCCGGTTATGGCAGTATCCCGGTTATTAGAAACCGGGTTACTGTAGCTGGTTTATTCTGATAGTAACCGGGATACTTGTGGCATGTAAACGCAGTATCCCGGTTACTGCAACATAAAGTTGAGTGCGCATGCGTCCAAAAGACACTTTCCAGCCTTTCACCACAACAGTAGTCACATAAATAAATTGACCAACATAAATAAAGTGACCAAACGAGTGAAATGACTGTAAAATAAAGAGCTGCGCTAAACCTGCACACGTACAATCTGCACTCGTACGACCTGCACTCGTGTGACGCTGAAAAGCTAAAACATGAACTATCTCCTAAACTCTATACGCACAGAACACACTTACCATCATCAGCACCTCTTCTGTCACAGAAATAACACACATAATCCACAGAGTCGTGTCATTTAGTCCAAAAGAAACTGATCACATCAGCGGCACAAGGAGCGAGTTGTTTTTATCGCCGCTAACAGTTTATGCTAATTAGCCAAACGGTCTTAAGTTTCGTTTCTGTAAAACGTAAACAAATGTGATCAGAGCTGAATTATCTGATCAAACGGGCTGATGTGTCTATAGTGTTTATGGTTTATATGTTGTAAAGTTGAGTTTATTTATGCAGAAGATTTTAATGAAGAATCTGCACAGTGGATTGTGGGAGATCTCGTAGCTCCTTAGCTTCTTATGCTAAAGGAGCTCACGGTTTGTATTTTTCCTGGTTTATGAAATTGATTTAAGTTAATTTTTGCACCTGCGCATTTGTAAGATTATGTCAAGAAACCGGGATACTCCATTTGATCATGTACACGCGGATATGAGTGTCCCGGTTTCTCAGTGCGCATGTAAACGCAGTAACACGAATACTGACATAACCGGGATATGGACAATAACCGGGTTATTGATGTGCATGTATAACGCACTCAATGTCTCGCGTATTTCCCACCAGCTTCATAAATCTGTCCCATCACCAAATCTTCAACCAACAAAACATTTTTCCATGAAGAATTTATCCACAACTATCAAGGCAAGAAAGACGAAAGCTTGAAGGCGAACAAAGACGACGCATTATTGAACTACTGAACAAAAATAATGTTATACTCATGAATAAAACATTAGTAACTTGTTCACTCAGACTGATTTTACAATTAAAATAAAAAATTGATTTCATGATTTAGATAGATTTGTGCAGTTCGAATGTGAGACATCTCCGGGACCATAACATTAGTTTTGTTCAAGAGTTCTCCAATGCGCTGTCGTTGTTCGTCTTTAAGCTTTCGTCTTTCTTACCTTGATAGTTGTGGATAAATTCTTCATGGAAAAATGTTTATCCTTTGTGGATCTTGTTGGTTGAAGATTTGGTGATGGAGCAGATTTATGAAGCTGGTGGAAAACAGGCTCGATTCACGCGTCACAAACCATGAAGTCGTTTGGAAAGATACGATGACAACTTCCTGTGGGCTCTGTTCACGGTAAAAGTCTGACAACATCTATGAAAATGAGAAAGTCTCCCAGTTTTCTTCATCTCCATGTCATTTTAGTATTCCTTTGTGTTCGGCGAATCAACAATTACAACCATACCTCAGTTTTCACGCACTGGGTACATGCGATTAGAAGAGACGAGGCGCCAAATTCAAGATGATTCCAAACAGCACATACGTCTGCAGTCTTCATTTTACCACTGATCACATTTATTTCAGTGGGTTTGATCACAGTCGGTTGGTGAGCCCATTGTCGGGAACTACACCGGAACTCATCGTATGTTTCCAAACGTCTTCCTGGTTTGTGACGTAATGTGAATAGAGCCTATACGAGAGAAATTTCCAGATATTTTGTCATAGAAAACCGTTAAACAGAAGTTCTGCAAACCTACAACACGGCATTTCCATCCATTTTAAAAATGGTCTATTAATGTATTTTACCAGAGCTATTACTCTTTTTGTTTATGTTGTCCCTGTGCTGTTTCTGAAGTGGTGGTGGTGAGCCAAAGATGAAGTTCTAGTTCGGTAAACAATAAAGACATTGATACGTTGCAGTGGCATCATGTTGGGGTGTATTTCTGTTGGCGGACTCTTCAGCATTAGTAACACAAACAATATAGTTTTAAGATCATTTGACAACATTTTCAGAAGTCTGTGATCAATACAAGCGTTCATGATCCACGGTTCTCCGAATCTCACCTGTTGTAGTTCCAACTCTTTCTAGTCCGACTGTGTGAAAACAAAAAGCTCAGAATATTTTATTTTACCACATATCCATATATATCCTGTAGTTTATTTCTCTGAATATTTTATTTTACGTATAATCTCTTGGCCCCCTTTTTATGTGTTCCCTTTTTTTATTAACTTATTAATTTATCACTTTTAATATTATTGGTTTAAATTTCATTATTTAAAACTACTATATTATTTTTTATTATCATATTCATTTAGCAGTTTTCTACACTGCAAAAAAGCTTGGCCAAAATGTCAGATACAAACACTTAAATCATCAATCAAGCATTCGCCCACTGATCACAGGTTGGCTGGTGTGATTCCAGCTCCCACAGATGAATGCTGTCGGTGTGTCCTTGGGCAAGACACTTAACCCACCTTGCCCACAGTGTCTGCGTACACTGGTGTGTGAATGTGTGTGTGAATGGGTGAGTGGTTCCTTGTTGTAAAGAGCTTTGAGTGCCTTGAAGGTGGAAAAGCGCTATAGAAAAATGTGACCATTTACTTAAATCAATCAGAAAATGACTTAAAAGTAGTGAAATGATCTGTCCATGCAGCAAGATCATTTTACTCGACAAGTTTATCTTAAAATAAACGACCTCTAGACTAGAATTAAGCATCTCAGAACTAGTAAGTAGATCATGGAAACTATTTGAGTTTGTTTTATTCTAACGAAACCGTCTTGACCTCCGTGTTCAGGACAGGCACGGCGCTCACGTCGAAGCGGAGCCCCTGTGCATCCTGGACTTCTACATCTGTGAGAACATGCAGCGTCACGGATACGGACTGGAGCTCTTCGACTGCATGTTACAGGTACGAACACTGCACTCCTTCTTCACCGCGCTGAGTTTGGACTCCGAGGAGCGACGCCAAGGTAAATCTCAGGGCAGGATGAGGAATAGAGCAGCTGTGAGGGCCAGAGGACGCTGTGTTTTCTTTGGGCATTCCTACACTAAGGGTCCCTTCACTAAATATTCCCTAAAATATCCCCTCTCACCGCTGAGTGCGTTTTCTGTTTAGCTGGATGGAAGTAATCACATGCAAAACATCGATCAGTGTCAGGAGGTAAGTGCAGTCTGGGAGTCAAAACAAGGGGAGGGGAAAGGGTTTGGTGACAATGCTACTGAAGTATGAAGTAGATATAAGGACATGGATCTGATTTAGGCTTTAGATTTAGGATGATTAGAAGACCATAGTGAAAACATGTAATTTTTTTATTGTTAAATAGTGAGTTCTAGGGTCTAGTCACTAAGGCTGTGCAATTATTGAATTTTGATCGCAGTTTCGATTTGTGTGTCAAATAATCTCCAAGCTCATATACCGTATTTTTCGGAATATAAGTCACACTTTTTGGGGGAAATTTATTTTATAACATCAGAGACCAGGGACCGACATTTCCTGTTGAAAGTCAAGTTCTAGTAAAAACAATAGAAGAGAGAACAACAGACTGTTAACGTCACATATGAACAGTTCTTCAGATAAACTATAACATAAACAACAGAACAGAACAAGTTTAACAAACTCTCCATCTCACTCCAAATCACTAAATCCATTCAATTCTTCATCCTCGGTGTCACTTCTGAGAAACTCCACGACCTCCGGAGGTAAACAGAGCGCCGCTTCCTCTTCTGTGTCGCTGTCGTCAGACTCAGCATCAGTTCCAGTTAGAATTATTCCAGCCTTTCTGAATCCCGACAGGATGGCATCAGTTGTCACTTTATGTTTGTTTAAATTTTAAATGATCAGTAATACAGAAGTAATGGTGCGATCGACTGACCTGATACAGACAGGACAGTGGCTCTTTCTCACGATTTCGATTTGTGTGTCAAACGATCTCCAAACTCATACAATTGAGTTGAAATTATTTAAGGTGCACTCACACTAGGACTTTAGAATCAGACCCAGGCGCGGCACAGTTGGGACTTTCGCCTTTTGCTTTTTCGACTTTCCAGCAGGAGGACCAAAGCACAGGACACAAGCACACACACACACAACTTTACTATACGAGCCCTGTCAGGTGTGCTGTTGTCACTCATATGATAAAAACAGTGAATAAAACACACAGAGAATCCATGCTTACCTTCAATAAGGACTGTGACAGTGACAAAGGTTTTGCCGTGTCGTCTCCTCCTGTCCTCACTGCTCCGTGCTGTTATTATCTCCATGAACTCACAGAGGAGCATGTATCACTGTAGGACTCACATCTGCCTCACTCTTTAATAGCTATTTCTGCCACTGGACTTATTTTCTCCACTAAAAGCCTTAACTTGTAACAAACAGCACTTGTAAACAAAGAGCATCATGTAACGATGTCATCGGCCCTGGCTTGGTTCTAAAGTCCTAGTGTGAGTGCACCCTAAAGTTTAACAAAGTTTATTTTGGGATATTTTTTATATAAATAAGTTAGTAATATATATATTTTTTAAAATATAGAGATTATAGAAGAGCTGGATATGTAGTTTATTTTGGATACATTGCGACTCCCCACCCACACGTTCTTTTCTATGGACGTTGCTGCCACTGCCCCACAAAACGCAGTGGCCAAAAACCTCGTTCTTCTCCTTCTCAATCTCCTACAGAGTGAAGTCTGAAGTCATCTGTCATTAGGTCCGAGCTGAGTTATGGTTCCAGGAAGTGTGTTTTATCTCTGGTGGCGATTAAATATGATCATGGTATCGGTCTGAACATCTCGACTAGGGATGGGCATGATTAATCGAATAATCGATAAATGATCATTAAGAATTTCATCGATTACGTTAATTTTAATCGACAAACCGAATGTAGGTTGCTGTGCGTAGTGCTCTCTGCATCAGAAGGAGCGAGCAAACACAAACATTCGGTCAGCCTGCGGCGTACCGAAGCACAAACGCGTATTTAACGATGACTTGTACAAGAAATTCCGCGCTTTCTGTTGCGTTCGGGACAAGTGTGAGTCCATGTGCACAGTGTACAAAGCAGGAACATATGTTTCTGTGTCCAGTGGAAAAAAGCTTTACCAGGTGAGAGTCGCTCAATGTCGATGACGAGTCTCCACCTCCCTCCCCCCGTACGGTGTCCTGGTTTTGACAAACGCAAATCTGGTCACACTAACCTGTATTCACACTGAGTCGTGTCTTTTAATCCGACAGAAATTGAACCACATCAGTGACACAAGAGCTGGAGTTTTATCTTTCGCTGAGTTTATGCAAATTAGCGATGCGTTTTAAGTTTCGTTTCTGTGAGAGTTGCGCAAAACTGAATTAAACACATTATAATGTCAAACGGGCTGATGTGGCTCTAGAGTCGTTACGGTTTATATGTCGTAAAGTTGAATTTATTTATGCAGATTAGTAGTTCAGATAGTAATAATAATGATGATCATTTTAATATAAAAACGTTAATGATTAATCGATAATCGATCGTTAATTCTTCCGACGATCGATTAAGAAAATTTCATCGAATGCCCATCCCTAATCTCGACTAAAGAACAGGTCCTTCTTTCATTCCGCTGACACTTCCTTGTTGTTTCTGTTCAGCACAAACACGTGGAGCCGGTGCTGATGGCGTACGACAGACCCTCCCCCAAACTCCTCTCCTTCTTGGCCAAACACTACAGTCTGACACAAAGCATTCCTCAGGTACTCCTCCTACGATTTAAAACTCTTATGTTATGTTTTTAAAGGTGCTGTGTTACGCAAAACTGACTCCTGTGATGTTTAAGACGTGTTAGAATGATGTTTCCTCCTCATAAACAGACCTGGAGTTGTGTTTTGTTTCATTCACACGTGTTTGAGTGACACTTAATTATTAGTCTGTCTCAGTGTTGGGAGTAACGTGTTATAAAAGTCACAAATTACTGTAATGCGTTGCTTTTTGCCGTAATGCAGTAATATTCGGCATTACAGGGAAAAATGTTAATATTTTACTGGGTATAAATGTCAGTAATGCCTTTTTTAACCTGGATTGAAGTGGTGGGTTTTTCGTTTTTCTTCATACAAATTCGCTAAAATCTCTGCGATATCAGCAGCGATTCGGTTCCGAATGTTGGGATGGGTCCGGAGGTGCGCCCGCGTAGACCGTCGGGTGACCGCGGGGGAAAGGACCGACGCAGAACTCCACGCTCCACGGGGCAAAGAGCAGCTGACGCCCGATCGAGCTTTGAGACACTCTGTTCTACAGGCTCGAGGTTCTCTCAGGGGCGGAGCTAGATTCCAAGTCCTAGTCCAAGATCCTGGTCCTGGTTTAGACCTGGTTTAGACCTGGTTTAGTCCTGGTTTGGACCTGGTTTAGACCTGGTTTAGTCCTGGTTTAGACCTGGTTCATTTCTCATTCAGCTTTGATTTTGTCCTGGGTTGGTCCTGGTTCAGTTCTTGGTTCAGTCCTGGTTCAGTCCTGGTTAAGTCCTGGTTAAGTCCTGGTTTAAGCCTGGTTTGGACCTGGTTCAGTTCTGGTTTAGACCTGGTTCTGTCTGGTTCAGCTTTGATTTAGTCCTAGCTTAGACCTGGTTTATACTTGGTTTAATCCTGGTTCAGTACTGGTTTAGTCCTGGTTTAGACCTGGTTTAGACCCGGTTCGGTCCTGGTTCAGCTTTGATTTAGTCCTGGTTTAGACCTGGTTTAGACCTGGTTTAGTCCTGATTTAGACCTGGTTCAGTTCTAGTTTAGACCTGGTTTAGACCTGGTTCAGTCCTGGTTCAGCTTTGATTTAGTCCTAGTTTAGTCCTGATTTAGACCTGGTTCAGTTCTAGTTTAGACCTGGTTTAGACCTGGTTCAGTCCTGGTTCAATTCTGGTTTAATCCTGGTTCAGTCCTGGTTCAGTCCTGGTTTAGTCCCGTTTTAGTCCTGGTTCAGTCCTGGTTCAGTCCTGGTTCAGTCCTGGTTTAGACTTGGTTCAGACCTGGTTTAGTTTAGTCCTGGTTTAGTCCCGGTTTAGTCCTGGTTCACCTGGTTTCAGTCCTGGTTTAGTCTGGTTTATTCTGGTTTAATCCTGGTTTCAGTCCTGTTCAGTCCTGGTTCAGTCCTGGTTCAGTCCTGGTTTAGACTTGGTTCAGACCTGGTTCAGACCTGGTTTAGTCCATATACGGCGCAGAAGTCGCTGTAGTTCTGTTATAGTCGTGTAATGTTTTACATTTTAAACACAGTAATATTGTAATTTAACAAATTATTTTGAAATGACAGAAACAAATCATAAATAACACTTTACAGTTTTAAAGTCACTTGCCCAACAGTGATTATTAATCTGTCTGCAGCTGAAAATAAACAAGTGTGAATGAAACAAACCACAGCTCCAGGTCTGTTTTTAGTGACGAAACAGAACACAGAGAAACATGAGCTCTTTAACTTTCATATTTATATTTCGGGAAGTTTGAAATGGTCAGAAATCGTCGCGAACACGATAATGTTCGGTTACGGAACAGCAGACGCCCAAACTACAGTGTCAAAAGTTTTTTATTACACAGAGTACGTGGAATAAGGAGGATATGAAGTAATGAAATACTCGTCACAACTGCATTCCGCGCGTAATGAAGTACTGTGTTCCAGATATTTGCATGTTTTGCCCTACGGGATGGAAACGAGATGTAAGCAGGAGATACTGTAGGTCGCCTCCTCCCTCCTCGCTCCTCTTCTAACTCCTCTCTCATCTCCCTCTCTCTCTCTCTCTCTCTCCTCTCTCTCTCTCTCTCTCTCTCTCTCTCTCTCCTCTCTCTCTCTCTCTCTCTCTCTCTCTCTCTCTCCTCTCCTCTCTCTCTCTCTCTCTCTCTCTCTCTCTCTCTCTCTCTCTCTCTCTCCTCTCTCTCTCTCTCTCTCTCTCTCTCTCTCTCTCTCTCTCTCTCTCTCTCTCTCTCTCTCTCTCTCTCTCTCTCTCTCTCTCTCTCTCTCTCTCTCTCTCTCTCCTCTAATCTCTCTCTCTCTCTCTCTCTCTCTCTCTCTCTCCTCTCTCTCTCTCTCTCCTCTCTCTCTCTCTCTCTCTCTCTCTCTCTCTCTCTCCTCTCTCTCTCTCTCTCTCCTCTCTCTCTCTCTCCTCTCTCTCTCTCTCTCTCTCTCTCTCTCTCTCTCTCTCTCTCTCTCTCTCTCTCTCTCTCTCTCTCTCTCTCTCTCTCTCTCTCTCTCTCTCTCTCTCTCTCTCTCTCTCTCTCCTCTCCTCTCTCTCTCTCTCTCTCCTCTCTCTCTCTCTCTCTCTCTCTCTCTCTCTCTCTCTCTCTCCTCTCTCTTCCTCTCTCTTCTCCTCTTCTCTCTCTCTCGTCTCTCCTCCCACCTCTCTCCTCTCCTCTTCTCCTCCCTCCTCTCTCTTCTCCTCTCCCTTCCCTTCTCTCTCCTCTCTTTCCTCTTCTCCCTCCTCTTTCGTCTCTCTCCCTCCTCTCTCTCTGCCACCTCTCCTCTATCATCTCTCCTGTCTCTCTCTCCTCGCTTTCCTCCTCTCCTTCTTCTCCTCTCTCCTCCCTCTTGTCCCTCCTTGTCTCTTCTCTCTTTCCTCTTCCCTTCCTCCTCTCTTCTCAATCTCTCCCTCCCTTTGTCTCCCCTGTCCCTCCTCTCGTCTCTTCTCTCCTCCCTCCTTCCTCCTCTCATTCTCTCTCTCTCTATTCTCCCTCCTCTCCTCACTCCTCTTTCCCTCCTCCTCTCATTTCTCCTCTTTCATCTCTCTCCCTCCTTTCTCTTCTCTCCTCCCTCTGTCTTTCTCACTCCTCCTTCCCCTCTCCCACCTTTCTCCTCCCTCTCTTCCTCCTCTCCCCATTCCTTCCTCTCCTCTCTCCTTCCTTTCTTTCTGTCCCCTCTCTCTCCCTTTCTTCTCCAGTCTTCTCTCCATCCTCTCTCTCACTTTCCTCTCTCCTCTTTCATACCTTTTCCTCCTTTCTCCTCGCTCTCTCTCTCTCCCTCTTTTTCTCATTCCTCCTCCCTCTGTCCTCCTCTCTTCTTCCTCTCCTCCCTCCTGTGGATTCCTGTGTGATTGCTCCACTTTTCGTCACTATTTATAGAATTGTCACGATGAGACCAAAGCCACAGGAAGAAACTGTTTATCATTTACAACTATCTGGTCTCTGTGACTCAAGGTTACTCTCTGAATCTGGAAAGTTCCATAATAGCACTTTAAAATGGAGTACAGTAAAGTACAGATGACTAATGCAATATTATATAATCTATTTATGAAAATTTCTTGCTTCTGACCAAAAACTTGGACAAACTTTATTAAACCAAGAAGTAAAATAGAACTAGAAAACCAGGGACTTTGGGACTAAACCTGGACTAGTTTACGTTATTCAATTCAATTCAATTCAAAATTTATTTATATAGCACATTTAAAACAACTTCAGTTGACCAAAGTGCTTCACATACAAGTCAACAGCAACAGCATAGAAGAAACAGTTACATATACAAATATACAGAAAACATGTTAAAACTACCAAGATAACCTGACCAGCTCGTACTAAATGCCAGGGAGAAGAGGTGAGTTTTCAGTCTTGTCTTAAACTGCGTTCCAGACTGAGAGGATCTGACAGCAAGAGGAAGGCTGCTCTATAGTCTGGGCGCTGCCACAGAAAAAGCTCTGTCACCTCTTGTCTTGAGCCGAGTTTTGGGCTCGACCAACAGGAGCTGGTCGGCTGATCTCAGGGTCTGGGGGGAGGACAGGGCCGCAGTAACTCCCTCAAGTAGACTGGACCCATGGAGTGCAGACATTTGAAAACAATTAACAACATTTTAAATTGCACCCGGTATAGGACAGGGAGCCAGTGCAGGTCACACAGAAGAGGTGTGATGTGTTCACGTTTTTTAGTATTTGTCAGCAGACGAGCTGCAGGGTTCTGGACGTGTTGTATGCGTTGCCCTGGTCTAACCCTACATATAAAGAATTACAATAGTCCAGGCGTGATGTCACGAAAGCATGGATCACTTTTTACGTTATGATGCTACATGATGAAGACTAGGACGTGGATACAGTGTTTAGATCAGGGGTCTCAGACTCGCGGCCCGGGGGCCAACTGCGGCCCTCCACTTAATTCCAAAGAATGTCAGTGCGGCCCGCGGTAGATGTACGCACAATCCCACCCCCCTACCGCGGGCCGGACTGACAGATGAAGCTGCAATCGGTGCCCATGCAGATTCACAACAACAGATTATTAACGCATCTTACGTCCCAAAACTCAACTTACAGCAGCTGTGAAGCAACGAGTCTAAGTGGATCTGTTAATACAAGCACATACGGCGTTTTTTTTTCATGCAGCCGCTATTTATCGAATACTCAATGCGGCCCAGCCTCACTCAGACTTTATCTAATGTGGCCCCCAGGTAATTTGAGTTTGAGACCCCTGGTTTAGATGAATGAGGGAGCACGGACAGAAACACATAAAGTTATTTATTACATAACGGTGAGATGTTTACAGCTGTTAAATTAACCTATAATGTTCAAATCAAATATAGCTCTTACTGGTAACAATTCTAATGCTGATTTATTCTTAATTTTATAAACATTTAACATGATGGTCAAGTTGTTTATGTTATAGTTTGTTGTTTTGGTTCTCAAGACCGATTGAGCCTCACATGACTCTATTTTTGTGTTGCCAGTTGGTTTAAATTTTATTTATTTATTTATTTGAAAAGGGACAATGCACATTAATCAACATCAAAACAATGTAAATGTGCC